AAACTTGGGCATTTTTCATAGTCATTTACAACAACCACAACCATAGATCGGCACATTTAAAAATACTTATTCAATAAGACTGAATAATAAATTATTTTATTACACACTGCAGGATGTCCCCGTGAGGATTTACCAATTGGAATATCTCCTAAAATAATGAAACTATTATAACTCTGTTTTATTTATTAGAATGACAAGGATAGACAAGGACTACAATTATTTCATATTTTAATTTAATTTAAAGTTTTGGTAAAAAAAACTAAAAAAATAATTGTTCTGATAAGACTTATTTAATATTTGTAATTCTACAAAGTCGAATAATTTGACAAAATTCACACTGCGAAAGAAAAATTAGTAGTTTTTAAATACGTAACTTTCTAATATTGAATATTGTGTTATTTTCGCGAAAATTTTACATTTAAATTGAGTAAAGACCAGATTTATGTTCAGCTGTAACCTAAAAACTTGCTTCTAAAATGCTGAAATTTACAAAATCGTGCAAAAACCAATCATAATTAGAAATTAGGTAACAAATCTTTAATTATAGGTATTTCAAATTTAATTTTTACTGTTTTTTATTTTTTTATTTTTTTATTTTTATAATATTAGTATTTGGCATTATATAAAAAAAACTAATTTAATTAATATAAAATAATTATAAATTTTAAATTATAAAATTTTAGCTGATTTACAATATCGAAAATTCGACTTTCCGGGAAAACCGTTAGAACAGGAATTCCGGGGTTTGCGGCAGGAATTGGCAGGAATTGAGCACTAATTATTACTGGCACGAAAAAATTGCAAAAATCAAATTGGGGGGGCTGGGGTAACGTACCTACGTATTGTTTTTTTCATTATTACAAATATTGATACGGAGCTCCAACAGTAATAGGAATTACTGTATTTTATTTTATATTAATTTAATAATTTTATTTGGGTGGTTCTAATTTGAATACATTGTTATACATAATTATTTGAATACTACTAAAATTATATATAACTTTTATTTGCACATAATTTTACAAATTGTTTGCGCACAAAATATACACAATACAATGGATATATTTTCATTATTAAAATAATTATGATAAGCTKMAGCTCTATTCGTYGTACTTGGCTGTTCACCTTTTAGAGAAGTAAAATATATTAAAACATAATATTGAGTAAAAAAATAATCAGTCAAAGAAGTTTAATCCGTTAATTAGAGCCAATATAAAATTTGCAAAATATGTAATCTTTAATTATTTTAGTGACAAATATAGATCAAACCGAAAAACATTTTAATCAATGCTGGTACCTGGATATTATTATTATCTCTATTTTTTTTTTTTTTGATAATGAAAACAGTACAAATTTAATTTTTATAATATATTTTGCTTTCTACCCCCCTTTTAGAAATCCTGGCTACGCTACTGGCAAGCTGCACAACAATACGTGTACSTTTAGTTTTTATTACAGTGTACCAATAGTGATACTGTGTTGATAATTAAATCAACCAAATATATCATAAATATGGGATACCTACTACATAATATGGTCACATGTCATGATATTTGTTGTATAACATGTGACGACCAAAATTGGGTGAATGTTTTTAAAACATACTTTGAAAAAATTAACCTAACCCATAGTTTACTTACAAGACGTGTTTTTTTTCCGTCGGGGTTAAGCTCCGCTGATCGATGATAAAACTTGCCTGTTCGAACAACTCACACCACGGTCCCTTGCACTGTTGTCACCACCCACATTAAAATATTTCCTAACTATTTTAAAAATATTTTCAGGAAAATAATATAGTTGTCAAAAAAATTTAAAAAGTTCTGTAGATAATTAAAAAATAATTTAGTTATATTTTTTTGGCTAAGAAGTTCATATTTGGAAAATATTTTATAAAAAATATTTACAAAACATTTTAATCACATATTTTCAAAAAACATTTTCATAAAAACTTTTTTTAAATATTTAGTCGACATGTTTATACAATCATATTTATAGAATAATATATTTGGTTATCATGAGAAGAATATTTATACAATATTGTTAGTTAAATATTTATTATTCAATAATTTCATAATATTCACAAAATATTATTATTTCCCAAATGCTGTGTGTGGCAGGGTCCGGGCAACACTCAACTGATACTGATACCGTGTACGCGCGGTAATATCAGCTGATTAGGTAATTCATGTACAGGGTGATTCTTTTATCAAACAACACTTATATGGTGTTTGTGTGTAAATACCACCTAACATACACCTATAACACACAAACACCACCAAAAACCACCCAAATTTGGGAGGCTATATCTTGTAAACGGATTAACGAAAAATGAAAATTTAAACGTGAAAATTCATTGAAAAAATAGTCTTTTTAGTTTATCATGTTTATTGTATGGTTAGCCCGATAAATATAAGGGTGAAAATATTTAAAAAATATATAGTTCTAGAACAAGATGTTTCTAAAATTTTGAAAAAAAAAATTTGAAAAAGTCAATAGTTTTTGAAATAATGAGTGTTGTTTGATAAAAGAATCACCCTGTATAATCTTCATACATTTTTCTCTCTCTCGCTCTCTCTCTGTTCTCCCACTTTCTCCGTCCCGTCTTATTTTTCGTACGTCTACTTGATGAGTAACTTAGCGGGCGTGACGACATTTCATTTTTATAATACGCCGGTGGGGTACAGCATGGTTGAGAAGTAGAGGTCCGTTTTGCCGTGTGCAATCCAGTGACATGCGAGGAATATATTTGGTCGGTAATGTACCTTTTTAATTAATATATTAATTTTTTTCAATAAACCGTGAACGGTATTCTCGACACTCTCGCACTCTTATWATCATTTACTCTCGGTAACCAACCAGAGAAGCCGTTAGTTTCCCTTATGTTTTATTTATATTGTATGAATTGTTTTTTTATTTTTTGCCGGTTTGGCTTTCTCGGCACTTAATTAAATAAATAAAATCCTTTCTCTACTTAACAGGATGTTACGAGAATTATTATTAATATTGTTCCTCATGTTCCAAACATCAAATCTACGTCGCTCCAGCCTTACCAGTTCCCGGCTCGTAGTTGGCGATATGGCAACCTAGTCGAGTACATAGGCGACCACATGGCTTTCGGTACCAAAGTTGCGCTTGTGGAGAGTGTCGAAATGTTACAAACGAATCCCATTATTTTATAGGATTGATTTTGGTCACGCTCAAACTATTGTCTTATTACACGCATTATACMACGCCATAAACGTTACGATGATAATCGTTTGTGAAATCGTATCAGACCAAATTACAACCCTATGATACAATAAATCGATTCACTCAAATGTTTTATAATTCGGTGACGTATACTCGCGATGCATCATTGCAGTATTATCTAATTTGCTTGACCCGGCGTGAAGGTACGGCAGCTGTTTGCCGAGCGGAGCCAACAGCAGCAGGGGCCTGGCTACCAGCACCACCAGCAACAGCGACGGCAGCGGCGGCGGAGCCTCACGGGCCGCGACCGGTCACGGCCCCTGAGACCGCTGTCCGATGTGAACGACGATCCGCTGTGCAAGACGGTCTGCTTTACCGCTGGAGGTGGCGCCGACTTGGTGGGCATCAGCGCCGCGGAYGGTGGTGACGTGCGCAGCGAACTTCTCGCGCTGTTCGGGCGGTTGCCCAACCTGGGTGGACAGCTGCTATCAGAATCGTTCCGCAAAGGAGCCGGCAAAATGAAGACTGCCCAGTCGGCGCCCGAGCTCAAGTGGTTACTGGACGGCGCCACCGGACCAGGCAGGGCGGTCGGGGCACACCGGTCGCAACAGCCACCCGCGTCCGAACCGGATAAAGGCGGAGGTGTTCCCAAACGGCCGGCGGCAGGTGCAGGTGACGCCGGTGATCACAGTGACGGTGATGGTAATGGTGACGACGACGACGGTGACTACGATCAACGGCAACAGGTCATTATCGTCGCACTGGCTTCGGCTGATGACGGGCATGCTGCATGTGCATAATATTATTGTTGTTATAAAATATTATGTTGGCCCATCATCGTAATAATAATATACGTCCAACGCATAAAAATTATAGTGTAGTTGTGTGTGTGTGATATTATGTATTGTGACACGGTAAAGTAGTATAACCTATATAGTCAGCGTAGCGTAACAAATTTGCTGAGCCTAACCTATATATGTACATCGGAAGAAATCGGCGGAAGACGTTCCCCTCACCAAAATTCTTCCAAGCCACATAGAAATGAATGATACAAACAATTATAAGTTTTTCTATAGGTATATGAATACTATTATACGTCCAAAATGTCCATTAMAAAATACTTATTGTCCAGGCACACGAAATCAAAACTCAAAAAATCTATAAAAAAAAAAATACGTTTTAACAACGTATAGTCTATAATGTATAGTCCTAGAGGACGCCACACCTACTGACCTGCATGATGCATGATATGTAATTGTTTTCGTCTTATAAATGTAAAACATAAATATATAGTAAAAGCTGTTTTGCGCGAGAAAGAACCAAGAAGATTACATAATTACATAATATAAATTCATATCTAAGAAACGAAATTTTCTCCCCATAAAAAGGGTAATATCGGTTGTGAAAAATCGCTTATTATTATTATTATTATTTCGAAACTAAAAAATGTTATTCAAGTTTGATAAATACAAAAATAATTAATTTTGAAACAATAAGAACTTAAATAAGCCTAACCTATATAAATAAATTTTTTTTCAGATAATGCTCTCAACTATATTGTACATGAGTTTGGAGTCATAACTATCACCACAGCCATCATACACACAGTGTATCATAATTTTTTATTCTGTGTTATCACTACAGCCTGAGTAGTAAAGTTATATACCGTACAAACAGTTTTTGGTATGCTAATCATAATATTATGTAAGACAGAGACAACACATGCAGATATTGTGTCTTCTTAAATACAATTTTCCAGTTTTTAATCTATTATTARACGTGTTGAGTCATTTCCAAATGTCGGGTACGAATATTTAAAAGTTAAGTTCTTGGAATCAACAAAAAAATAATTATAATTTAAAAAAAAAACGGTTGTTAATTATACAGAGTACCTATATGTGACACACATCAAGGATTCAGGATTATTAAAAAAAAATTTTAAATATTTAAAAATAAAATTGAGGGAGCCATTTCGGAGCCATTGATTTTGGTCACCTTAGGCCTCCGCTTAGTCCTCCACTTAGTCCTCTGCCTAAGCCTCTCCCTGGTGACGTGCCTATTACTGTCATACTATAATCATAGAATATCTTTATGTAAACAGTGTTATATTGAAATAAACGCCTTGGAAGAACGGCACAAAAAAAAAAACATAATTTTTCGAGCTAAAAAATGGGAAAGTTGCCTATTGATTAATTTGTGTTAGTTCAAAATTTTAAGTCAACGTTAAGAACGTTAGGTTATAACTTATAATCTACAGTATTACCATTAACTTATATAGGTAGGTAAATGTTGCTTATAAACAAAAATATTATATYTWTGTTTAATCCTGAACGTTTAAAATTTATCTTTAACACTAAATTATTWACTGCGACTGAGTCAAATTTTAAATAAAATGTATTTTAATATTATTTAATTATTTATTAATTATACATTTTTCAATATTTTAAATTAAAATAATATATTAAAAGTGTCTACTTTAAGTTAGTGTATATACTAGACACAAGCTATATCAGGTTTAGGCAATTTTACATTTGTTTTAAGGGATATCTATTATAGGTACCTATATTTCATTTTAAATCAGATTCATCAAATGTGCATAATTTTTATCTATATAAACAAGAGCATTACCCCTAAACAAAATAAAATAYCGATAAACTGTTGTRTGGTGAAGTTATTGTAACATTATTTGCCGTTATCAATAATCTTATAGTTTTCTAAATCTTAATTTCTCACTGATATTTAAGTTTAGATTTTGCATTATATTATGCTAATTTCAAGTATTCCGGTGCGTGATTTTATACGTTACGTATATTTTTATTTTATGAATGTATGTAAATCAATGAAACTTAATTTACTATGCGATTCTTTTATCATGAACCATTCATTATTTTAAAAACTATATTACGATTTTTGAAAAACATTTTACTTAATTTTAATATAAATACATTTTTTTTCAATTAAATTTTATTCTATTTATCATAAATTCATAATTATCAAGTTTTTAATTTTTGGTACTATAACTATATTTTTAATTTCATATTCCGCATCAGAATATTATTTGTAGCTTTTCGATAAATAAAAATATAATTTGAATTAGTGGTTTATAAATTATAGGTAATATATACATATTATATAGTTAACATGAATCGAGTAATGGACCAGTATTTTTTGTTTTTTTTTATTAMTTAATATCATGTAAAAATATATGTTACTAAACGTTAATAGTTTTTAAAATAATGYAAGTGATTCATGATAAAAATCATCCTGTGTTTAAACATTTTTTAATTAAATAATTTGTGACGTCACGCCTCTATGAGAATGTTTCTTAAGCTTACAGAAATTCAATTTATTTTAATCTTATAAGATATTAAATGTTTGATGGTTTTGTAGTTTTAATTTAAAAGTTTATGCAATTTTTTAGTATAATATTTATTAAAATTTCTGTAGTTTTTACACTTTTTAATTGAGAGTATTTTATATATCTGTTTGTGAATGATATAAGCTGTAGAAGTATAATAAAGTKTATTTTTAATTATTTATTTATTGTTTGTGTATAGATTTGTATATGTTATGTTTTAATGTGTGATTTTATTGAACAGTATTTGTCATCGTTCAAAAATGTATGTATATCATAACTTTATATTGTACGTTACTTATACCGAATTATTAGCTACGTTTTGAATATTTTTAATGCAATAAAACACTGCCCTAATTATATTATTATCAAGAGAAAAGACAATATTCTATTTTATTGATATCAATATGTACACTATTCATATTTTTCTCTTATGTTACTGAATATATAATATTAACATTTAAGTATAATTTATTATTACCTATACCTTACTATTCATATCCCGARTTATGGATTTGTAATTATATTTTAATTAGACGTTTAATTAATTTGATTATGAGTTTATAATAAAATAACTGTCACAGTTGTAATTCTATGCAAATTGGTATTTTTTATGTGCAAACATTTAAATTATTTCATTAAATACATGAAATATGAATTTCAAAAGTTTAATATTTTTCATGTGATTACGGATTTCTGTAAAAAATAAAAATACGTTTTGACTAAATAGCATGTCATGAAAGAGTTATCGATTTTGTCGTAGTTTGGATTACTATTTTTTTTATTTTTATTGTGTTGTATTTTTTAAACTTTATACTGTAATTAAATATTATGATAGTAGATATTATGYACCAAGTAGATTATTATCAATATGTATTAAGAGGATGTCAGCGCACTATTTGTTTTCTCTTTCTGACTCACTCGTAACATAGACAAAACGCATATACGCAGAATAATTTTTTCTATGTCTTGAAGTAATTTTAGAGTAAAACCTCCCATTACAAAAAAGATAGAAAATAATATTTTTGAGGGAATGACATATCAATTTGTCTAAATATTGTCTCTAAATAATTTWAACATTATTTAAATGTACAGTATTTTTTTGTTTATTTTGAAAGTCGAATACAAAGTCAAATATCAATAAAATATAAAATCGATATGTCATTCCCTCAAAAATATTATTCTTTATCTTTTTTGTAATGGAAGGTTTTACTCTAAAATTACTTAAAGGCATAGAAAAAATGATTCTTCGTAAATGCGTTTTGTCTATGTTACGCGTGGGTCAGAGAGAGAAAACAAATAGTGCGCTGACATCCTCTTAAAATGTAAAAGTATTATAGTAGGAACGTTAATTAGTACCTATTAAAAATAGCTGCACAATGTKTAATGCATTTGCTTGTTTCATATCGTGTGAGAACTGTGAGATGATAAAAGCAGAAAATTGCATCGAACAACGTTTGTAAATACCTAATACACAGACATAATATATAACGAATAAYGGCAATATATGCACACGGCACATCATAAACAACAATAGGTTCACTTACTGACATGGATAAGAATAATATTAGTATAATATATTGTGGTGTATATTTTTATCTATCTCAGTGCTCCTATTATAAATATATTGCTTTTAATTTTAGAGATTGCAGATTTTAGATAGGTATTTATTTATTTTTGATAAAAACAAAATTATAACAACAATGAATATTCTAGATGAATCGTATGATCAGTTTTATTATGTGTTTTTCTCTGTTAATTTATTTAGTGAATATGATTAGTAATCGTTTGGGATAATATAAAACTGTTGGTATCAGTTAATTATTTATTTCATTTATCTGAACGGTATTTATAATAATATTTGAATGAAGCAATCCTTTAGCTGATCAAGATTAGATAATAGTTATTTCTATTCATTTTTGAGAATATTGATTCAGTAATYGTGTTCAATTATTTACCTATAAGTATTCTAAGCTGTATTACGCTCCATGTCAAGTATTAAAGTAAAATATTTTATTCTTTATACCTATACGGCTATACTCTATACTTCTATACGAATATATTAGCATTAGTTGATAACCTTTAGACTACTATTGTTTTTGACCAAAACTTTGCAACTATCAAGTATCAATTTCACAATAATATTTATTATGTGTAATGTGTATCATGTATGCAACGAGATTAGCTTTTAGTATCTAAGTTATACAGACGAGTAATAAATTATTGTATGTGCCTTTAAAGTGCGTAAAAGCTAAATGTATTAGCCTAATGTGCCTATATAATAATTAAAAGTTATATGATCCACCTTCTAGAGTTTTGTTTACAAATTCATTAAAAAATTGTCAAATTTAATAAATGCTGACCGATCACACAAGATTGACTTTTAAATCGAAAATTAGTTAAAATGCCAAAAACTATTTAGGAAAAAGTTGCTGAATCGTCTTAACTTTTGTTTGATAAATTCTGAACACATAAAAATAAAATTATTTATATCCTACAATCGATAAACGAAGTAATAACCTGTATTCGTTTATTCTAAGCCAGCAAATCACTAGTACTTATGAATCGTATCACGCTCTAAATTCTTAAGGCTGTTATGGCACACTTTAATATTACACATATTTCATTAGTTAAGCGATAAATCATTATATTATTATAATAAGGCACGTTTAGTTGTATKTGTATGGCCTTATTATTGAGTATAAATTGAACAAAAAGTTAAAATTCCATTAATTAATCGTTTAAGTTAAATGGTCAATTGTATACAATTATTATACTAGGTATGCATAACGATACAATATTGATGACGCAGATAATGTATAATAATTGGTGTTCGTTTTTCCACAGCAACAGTTGCAGCGACCAGCGGCGCGAATAAACAGCAAAACCGCGACGGTCGTGAAAAAACCACTGGCCACAGTCAACGGTAACGTAGGCGGCGGTKCTGGTGGCGGCGGTGGTGGCGGTGGCGGTGCTGGTGTGGGCCGCGTTCCTAAAAAGCCGATGGCCACGTTCAATGACTCAAACAGGTTATTATTGCCACCAGTCGTGCAGCCTACGGTGATCAATGCGTTGGCGGCTGGCGCTGGTGCGGCCGCGGCGGTGGCCAGCGTGAACGCATCTACGGTGGCTGGTATCCAGAAACCTTTGGTCAGGGCGACAAAGCTACAACCAAAGCCTACCGAAGCGAGGCGCGTCTCACCACTGCCAGCCAAGGCCGCTACCCGGGCACCGGTCGTTAAAAGCACCACGCCGACCACGGGATCACCACGACCACAATCTCTGAAACAGCAACTGTCCGCGGACAGGGGCCCACCAGCCAAGGGCATGGCACGCTGCCCACTGTGCGCCAGGGACTTTGCGGCCGACCGGCTGCCCAAGCACGAACAGGTGTGCCGGCGCACGCGTGAACGAGACCGCAAACGTAAGGTGTTCGACACAAGCAAAAAGCGGCTGGAAGCTGTGGCCGCCGAGGCCGGAGTGGATGTTACGTCGTTCAAGAAAAAGGTCAGTAACCTATTGGACGATGTGTGGGTCCACCAACCCACTTCGATTGTATAATGGAAACGTTTGTTTATAAGGACTTCACATACTTATAAAATGTTTGTACAACTGCTTAACGCGAAAAAGATCCACTTAAGCTACAGTCTTAATAAGTATTAAAAGTTGTTTGAAACCAAATTTGTCCATGATACAAACGRCAATACTCAATGTATTTTAGGCTGTAGCATTTTTACAAATGATTGAAGATTATATCAAGTCCTTTCGATGACAATTATTAACATACCAAAGCAATTGTATATATCGAATATGTTCGAAGGGGTCTTAAGATCGGAGGTGGGAGAATCAATGAAAAAAAATATCTTGAGTTTGTTAATTTAAAGTAGATATAGTTATCATTCCTGTAAAGTAAGTTTCTGTTATAAAGACGCGTTAGCGCTGACACCCTTAATTAATTAATTAATTAATTTAATAATTAATTTAATAATTAATTAAATTAAATTTAAATTAAATATAAAAATAATAATAATTAAATATATATAATATATTAATTTAATTTAACTCAATTAATTAATTAACTACTCATGTTAAGAAACATCAACTTTATAACTAGTTAATGTCCTGCAAATTTGTGTTGGAAAGAGACCATTACTCGTGATCATTTTCTCGCCTAACCTAAATTAGGGGAACTTAATTAAATTTGCTTGTTCATAATCTCAATTAAATAAGAAGATTGCGAATAAAAAATATAGCGTCTTCATTAACTCAATCCACGTGACGTCCACTTTGTTGCGTGAGGAGGCCAACGGTCTTCCACTACCAAATCTAATGCGTTTCGTACCCTTTTTTCCCTGGTCCAACTGTAGCTCACACCAGCTGTCTTTAATGTTTGTTTTTTTTCATGCAGAGCCAAAAGGAGGACCAGCGGGTCGCTGAGAAGCTACAGAAGAAAAAGGACGCTTGGCGTAGGAAGCATGACCAGCTGTTACGCAACGTGCGGGCGGCTAGGGCTGTGCAGCGGCACCTGGCTGCGGGTGGCACGGTGAAGGACTTGCCACCGGAGCTAGACAACGTGACGGCGGACCAGGATGACGAWGTCGACTCGGACTTGGTCAAGTGCCCGCATTGTGGCCGGACGTTCAATGAGGCATCCGCGGAGAGGCATATTCCTCTGTGCGCGGATCGACAGCGGAACGCGGCCGCCCGAATGCAGAACAACAAGAAACGGTGAATCTCGCCGTTTCACAATCACCGCCACTTCAACACCAGTATTATTATTATTGTTTATTTACGAACTATTTTAAGTCAGATTTACACTAGTACACTAAACCACAACGTGTCGAATTCCGTATACTTATGGACATGTCAACGCACTATGAATTTTTTTTTTCCATTGACTCTCGCACAATATAAACAAAACACATTCACTGTTTCGAAATATTTAATATCCATTTAAATCAACAGTTTCATAAGCTAATCATAAAATCTAATACCAAACCAATATGTCAAACCTTTAAAAACATTATAATCTCTATTAAAATTATTCGTAAATTATGAAATAAAACGCAAAAGCGTCTCTCAAATTTTCTACTTGAGTCATGRAAAGAGAAAAAAATAGACAATATTTCACCAACATCATCTTAAAGAAGACACCACATGGCATAAACCTTTGCCTTGATATTGTTTATTTGGTTGTCTAATTTAATTCCCCTTAATAACTGCCACGATTAAAATGTCTTTATAATTTTAATTACAGTTGGGTTGGTATAACACACTAATATATTTTGCTAAAAGTGCATAGTTTCAATTTGGGTGATTACTGTTATAATAGATAATTATCAGTCTGATAATTTTCTGACAAATATATTTCATTGGTACTTATACTGAAGATGAAAAAAAAATATATAGTAATCACACTAATAACTAATAATATTATTATATAAATTTTCGAATAACGGTTTAAATGTCTAAATGATTTATTTTTTCCTCTTTGTCTTTATTTTGATAAATTATTTAAAAAATATTAAATGAGAAATTGAGAACTATACAATTAAAATGTTTAG